AATGTTACCTCTCTGACATATACAGAGTTGTTTATTTATCATTATAACTGCAAATTCCTTAAAGGTCCATAAGCCGTTTCATGTGGCTTAAAAGCAGTGTGAGCAAATAAAGGCAGATCACCGTGTTTTGTTCCCTTCAAAGCGTTTAAAAGCAGGGCAGTTCTCCCCGGGCAGCCCTTTGTGCTGGGTGACAGATTGGTCTTACTTTGTGTGGCCCCAGTTCTGCCTTTTCTCTAATTGTCATTTGGACGTGTCCTCTATTCCATAAGGTCATTTTGCTGTCAGATGATTCTTCCTGTTGTGCCAGTTTTGGCTAAGAAGTTTAATGAAGCCTGTAGATAGCTAGATGTCGTTTTGTTAATCTTACTTACCTTGCTTGAGGGTTTTTATACACACACACACACACACACACACACACACAAAAATATATATATATATATGCGCACAATGACATATTTAATGTTATGTTATGTTCCTATATATCCATCCCCCCCAATCTGGGTCGAAATAAGGTTTTATTTACTAGTAATTTCCATCGTGTGTGTGTGTGTGTGAAAATGCTTTCTGTACACTTTGGTAAATTTCCTCCCCTTTGTTGTGGTTGGTTTATGGGTGTAATTTTATTTGTAATAACTTACTGTTCAGGTCATGGTTAGAGCATGAATACATCGCCAAAAAATGTTGTTACACTCATGGATATCCTCTGTGTCCTGTTTTCACCCACAATCCTCAACTTTGGGATTTTGATATCTTTTCTAATCTGTTGTGATGATCCAAGTTCACAGCTGTAACTGGGTTGTATGGTGCTTCTGTTTTACTGAACTTTTTGGTATAATTCCGACCAGGAACCCTTCTTTTGGAATAAATGTTTCTATGCATTACATATGTGGATATACAGATATGCAAATAGCTGTAGCATTTTGATTATTGACCCCCCAATTCCATCAAAATCTATAATAAAAATTTGAGGGCCTTACCTACCTCTATCCTTGGTGTTATTTTGCTTATATCTTGTGATTGACAGGTCATGGTATGCACTAAACTGTCACCTCGTAGACTGTTTTTTTTTTGTCTGTAATTTGTTTTTCTCTAGCATTATTATATGTTTTGCAGTTAACTATGCCTGGACTGCCTGGCCGGCTTGCTGTTTTAGCTTACCCTTCTTCTATCTCTGTGATGCAGCAAAATACGCCGTGAGGTTTAGCAGTGCAGCCATCCCGGAGACAAACATCACAGACACTTTCTAATGGCACTAATGGAAGCTCGTTTTGTCTTCCTCCCAAACTTTTGGGGTCATTTAAAATAGTGCTTCCCCATTGTGTCTATATTTGGCATGGGAGTGAAAGAAAATCAGACCGCATAGCAGGTAGGGTGCAGTTTATATGCAGCTGCAGAACTGTGGGACGGCCGGGGGCTTCAGAGGCTGGCTAGAGTTTTGGCATTAAGACCTGCAGAAATCCATAGTTTTAATGCTGGTGTTTTAGTTGGGCCTCGGTGCAGTGTGGTGCTCTGGCTTTTCATGCTTGAGCTCTCCTTATACCATGTAATGCATGTAGCATTGCATTTCCAATTAAATTCCCACCAAAATGTATTTTACTTGGGTGCAGCTGAATGGTTTGGGGGATTTTTCAAATTAAAATATTGTAAGATTGTTACAGGGAATTCTGGATTAAATCACATTAAAAACCCAAACATAGCTATACAAAATGGCATGTTATAAACTGGACAGTGAATATTAGTATTAAGAGGCTTAATTTTTTAAATCTGTTTTGCCCGAAGAAGGGTTTAGTCCATTTATTAGGTCTGACATGACTGTCAAAGAGGTTATTTTTGTTACTGTTTGCTGGTATAGAATTAGCATTTACATTTGAAAGTAAAGTGCATACATTTTAAGAAGAAACATATGTAATATTATGTTTGTGTTCTTTTATAATTTTGTCTACGTTTCAAAATTAAAAGTAGTTCTCTTTGTTAATTAATGTGGTGAACTATGTTGAAGGATTGAACCTGTCTGGAGCTGGTTCTTTGCATCTGAAGCTGAATATGGTCCAGTTGCACCGTTTCTCCTGAAGCTGGTTCCTTAGTGTAGCACTCTGGGGCCTGTAGTATGTTAAGAGACATTTACTTGGCAAGGAGTGTATCCAGCCTCTGTGGTAAGGGGGAATGACGTTGGAGCTGGGCACTGTCATCTGATACACTATTGGAATCTACTGAAAGGTAAAATAGAGGATTCGGAAATAAATATTCAAAATAATCTGCTGAGCTTTTCAGCTTGGGTCAATATTTTTTATTTATTTTTTCCTATTATGAACCTCCGTGTGGGTATATTTTGAAATGTTGTCTAGAGCAACAAAAAGCTAAAATTATTGATTAACATTGCAGCTACAACAAAGATTATTTCCTCCATATTGCAGCTTGTTTGTTGGGGTGGGGGGGGTGGGGGGGGGCTTGAAAAAAGGAGCTGTCGTACGGCAGCTTTCGGACTCTGACGCCCGTTTTGCTTCTTGCAAGTTCCCCTGGAAAATGTCAACAAACGCACCATCTTGTAATTACTGCCGCCATTGGCTTTCACTTGGATTGCTAAAAAAAATAAAAGACTATATATTTAGGCACTGAGGCCGCTGCAGTTCTGAGCGTGAGTCATCTGCGTGCGACCCCCCCTGGGGCCTCTGCTGTGACGCTGCCAGTGCCTGGTTGTCAAGAGGATGTCTTTGAGGACACGTCATTGGGAACAGGAAGGGGTGTGTGTGTCTGCGTGTGTGTCTGCGTGTGTGTC